ATGACTACATAGATGATTCTCTTCAATTAACCTGTTGTTTATCCATCTTCTTCAGCATCATCGACTTTTGTGTAAGCGGAGGCGGAGACGATGGTCGCCATTATCACAATTATAGTTTACATAGTAAAATATGACAATAGTCATATTCAACAATAGTCATATTCGAAGATGATTATAGTCACTGTTACTGTTGCTCCTTAAAACTAAAATTGTATGTCTTCACATCCGGAAAGAAAGAAAGAAACAAAAGAGAAATCGAAAAAGATAGGGATAGATATAGAAAGATAACGAAAGAGAGGGAGAGGGAGACGACGACAACGGCGGTGAACGAAAGAAAGTGAGGGAGCTAGGCGGCGACGGTGGTGGTGGTGTGTAGATTAGGAAAAAAATTGAGAGAGAGATAACGAACAAGAGAAATGGAGATTTATGAGGAGACGAAGGAGGCGGCAGCGGCAGAGGAATGTCGGATTTTTCTAAGAGGGAGTTGAAGAATTTAGGTGGAGAGGTGGAGAAGAGAGAATATGAAAGTGATAGAGGTGCATGCAAATAATTAGGATTTAAGGTTATAGTGGTTGAGAGAATTTTTGTCTTTCTCACACTAGTTCATGGGGTCTTGCAAATTAAAATTAGAATTTGGGTGCAGACAAAAGTCAATAAAGTCAATTGAGTTTAGTTCATAATATTTTCTAACTTAAGAGGGTATTGCATATTATCCCTTTTTTAATCGTTTATCTAAGGAAAAACAATTAAATGTTGATTCAATTCAATAAGGAAACAATCTAGAATCTTCTGATCTAAAACAAAGAGTGAAGTATTTTGTGGCAAGCAAATGGGCCAAAACACTACCCTTACGTCTAATGAATGAAAAATTGCAGCTAGAAAAAGACCCGAAAATAGTGAAACAATCGTCAAGACAAGCTCCGTAAGAAGCAATAGACATCTGGCCTAGCTTGAGAGCGTTGATAATTTCTAAGCAATCGGCTTCAAAGTAGTAGAAGTCCATCGTTTTGAAACCGCAAATTTCATTGCCTCTAACACTGCTTGGGCTTCGCATTCCGTCGGAGATGAGACGACTGGAAATTTCTGAACCGCCCAAGTTAGACACGAAACGCTATGATCCCTCCTAGCCACCAAGGAGACCGCACGGAAAGGCATACCTGGAGGGAAAGTTGCGTCAACATTAAGTTTAATGCATCCTGGGATCGGCACAGTCCACACCGAGGAGACTTGAGCCTGGTGAGTTGTAGTCATTTGCGCCGTGTGTTGTTGATAATGGGCCCGAAAAGGCAACACACCAGTCAACCGAATGCCATCAATGGTATCATTTCCGCAATGCAGCACGCTATTTCTCAAACCCCAGCTTTTCCATGCCACTACAATAACCGAAATGAGAGCATATGTGGACAGGGCACTACGAACCGATGCAGTCATCCCTGAATATAATATTTCTCGTGATGATCCACTCCGGAGTGTTGGGGCTGAAACTCATAGTAAAATTATCATGTCAATTGCTTGTCCCGACACCCGTGCATAAGTGTCCAAAAGTCCTTAAGCATCAGTTCACCCGCCTCCTCAGCTCAACAGAATTAGAGAGTGTTATCCGCAAAAGACAAGTTTAGGGGTGGTAAACGAGCCGAGCCGGCTCGCGAACTCGACGAGCCGGCTCGACAAATGCTCGAACTCGAGCTCGGGTTTTTCAAGCTCGAGCTTCGGACGAGCTCGAGCTCGAGCCCAAATCTAGTTGTTCGACAACTCGCGAGCCGGCTCGCGAGCTCCCTTCTTTTTTTTTTTTTTTTTTTTAAATTATATATATATATATATATATATATTATTCTTATTCTTATTATTATTATTATTATTAACTAAATAGTAAATAGTCTCTAATAATAAATATTTCTAGTATTTAAATAGAAACAAATCTATATTACTTAAATAATTCATAATAATATAAAATATTATAATATAATAGAAAAATTAAAAAATATATATATATAACTAGAGTATTATTTATTTTTTAATTTTTTTTAATTTTCCTATAAATATTTTTTAATAAAAAATTAAATGATTTTGAATAAAAAAATTAAATAATAAAAAAAATGAAAAAAAATAAAAATTAAGTGAGTCGAGCTCGAGCCAAAAAAAATTGGCTCGATGATCTCGAGCTCGGCAACATGGACTCGAGCTCGAGCTCGAGCTGGCCAAAAGAGCCGAGCTCGGCTCGTTCCCACCCCTAGACAAGTTGGAAGTCATCGGGGATGTTAGCGATGGGGGACAAACGTTGATTATATGGGAGAAACACTATCATTCAAAATTTTCCTCGTCCGATTTGTAACGAGTATGGAACCAATTTTGTAAATCACGTTACATAAGCTAATAGGCCTATTATTTGTGATTCTTTCTAGGGAAGCAAATTTAGGGATCGAAACAATTTAAATGTACTTGAGCGCCTCCAGAAGAATTTTAATATTTAGAAATAATATGCCAAAAGCAAATAAAGAAAAGAATCGGAAGCCCGTCCGGCCAGGGGATTTCAACGGGGCAATACTAGTTTTTGACAAATGAATGGAAAGCACTTGAATTGCCACTGGGTCACCTTCGGCTTCATCTGATACAATATATCTCGTCAATCTCTGCTTCGTCCGGGTAAGTCGTCTTAAATATGCGAGTAAAGTAGTTGATTACAATCACCTTGAAATTATTATTATTGTAACTTGTCTACCCTGTTAACTTTCTTTCTACTAGCCAAGGCAAGAACATGTAACTAGCCAAGGCAAGAACATGTAATAAACGAGTATTCCGATATCCCTCTTGATTTCTCCGTTGACAATCCATCGTTACTTCGAAATGACTGCAAAGCATGCGCAAAAGGTCCCTCTGATCTACCCCTAATGCATACATACTTATTTGAAATAAATTCACCAATTTAGAAAATTTAGTGAATAGTTCCTATCCAAAATTCAATTTTCTTACCTAAGTCTCAATAATGCTACTTATGGTTGTTAATAGATTATGATATGAATTTTCCACAACTGCAAAGGTTAACTGTCAAACAAGACTATCGAATGCACTGAGTACTGTTGAAAACTTGTTAACATCTTATTTGTTTTCCTTTATTTAAAGTGTATTGTTTTAACTTTTAGCACTTGTTTATGTTTCATGATTTGGGAAATTACAGTTTTCATCCCTCAAGTTCACATCAACTTCACATTTGATCCCCATACCCATAGAAAATACATTTGGTCATTCATGTTTCATAAATTCAATACTTTTATTCATTGCCATCAAAATTTTCTTTACTTACATTTTGATCCCCTTATTCATAGAAAATTCATTTGGTACCTCATGTTTCAGAAGTTCAACATTTTTATTCACTTCCATCAAATTTCCATTAGCACTAACGGAATCAAGCTTTCACTCACTTAACTGATAATAATAAATTGAGCGAGATGACCAAAAGTGTATAATTATGGAAACAAAAGGGACGAAATGTTTTTTTAATAAACTTGAGGGACCAAATGTGAAATCCATTTAAACTTAAGGGTAAAGACAGAAATTTTCCATTTATGATTTTCTATTTTAAAGAAAATCATTAAAACTGAAATGAGTAAATATTTTCTAAATAGTTCTCGAATCAAGGACCATTTTCCATTTAAATCTACAAATTACAATTATTATTTATCATCATTATTGTCAATAATTCAACAACAAATAAATCCAACACAACTAAATTGCATAATTTGACGAGTGCTCTAATAGCAACCAATAATCAAAATTGAAACAGAATATCTAACAGCGGCTAATTAAAAACAAAAAACCAAATCTTTGAATAACTCCATCAATTAAAAATCGAAAATTTAATTGAAAAAAAAAAGAAAAATTTAGAGCAGTTATCCTCGAATTAAAAACACGAACAAGAGATCGTGTTGCCAATTAACAATTGAAGGCTGCTCCAAAATCAATTGATTATAAATATAGGCCGGGTGAAATAGGGCTACCCAGTAATTGCAATTTCTCGCCGAGAGAGAGCCCATTTGGATCAGCCATTAATCCAACAAAATTAAATTGACGAATTAAATTAAATTAAGCAGAGAGATATGTGAGACCTTTCCACGAGCAAGAGAGAAATTGAGATTCAATCAATTGCAATCCGGAAAAGGGCTCCGACGGTTTTTGTATGCCGGCAACGGAACTCGGACGCCTCAATTAACCGGCGCGCCCGGTTCTCTCAAAGGCAGTGTTGAATCTGAAACCCTAATTCCTTTTCTTATTTATAGAGGGAGAAGGTATACTGAAGTAAATGTCTCTTTTACCCTTTCCCTTTATGTTGCTGCTGGTTCAGTAACCCTAATTTTGATTTCAATGGGCCGAGTGTTCGTTTAATTTTTTGGGAATTCTTTTTTGAAACTAAAATTGGATGCGAAATTAGGATTTTCCTTTTCTTTTATTTTTTGTTATTTTTTTATTTTGGAATTTCGTATGTAATTCTAATCGTAGCCCGAATTTATTTTTGTTAACGAAATTCTTAAAGACCGTTTTAAACATCTGATAAGTTCTTTATCTAATAAGTTATTTTAACAGCTGATAAGTTGTTAGGTCTTATTTTTAAAATTAATTTTTAAAGTGTTTGGATAATGAGCTTATGAACTGTTTTTATTATAAGGTCTTAAATAAAAATATGGGATATATGTACTTTTCAAAAAAAATCTTAAAAGTTAAAAGCACTCCCACAGCTTATTTTCTGATTGTTTTAAGATTTTTTTTCAAATAACCAAACACTATGAAATAGCTTTTAAAGTCATAAACAGCTTATAAGTTTAATCAAACACCCTCTAAGTCTTTACTGAAAACGAGTTCTGAAATTTTTGGGTGAAAACACATTTGTAATTTTTCATTATTACTAAAAACGTACACGAAAAACAGCCCCAAAACATTTCAGACAGGTGTCATGGCATTTTCGATTTTTTTCCGAAACGTATCGAAAACATGGAAACACGTATGTACAAAAGTTTCCGTGCGTCGTAGGATGCAAGGCGTAAACTATCACAAAGCTTAAGGACACGATTGAGTTATGTTTACAACAATTTATGTGCTTTTTAAAAATTACATATGTTCTTCCATCTCATCAAGAATCACTAGTGTACAACAACAATGGGAGTTTTAATCATTCCCTTTGTACCTATAAAAAATAATATACAACCACAAGTTGTTTTATATAATAATTTCTATATATGTCATCAAATCTCACATTTTCAAGAATCACTTCAAAAACTTCTTCATTTTATCCTTTCCAAGTTATAGTTCACCGTTTGTTCGAGCCCCAATCGGAAAGAACTTTCCGGAAGGCAATCAAGATTCTTTAGGGCCCGGTCAGCAATTTCTCTCGCCAGGTCACGCGCCCTTTCGATGGCCCCGCATTTCTCGATAATATCAATCGCCTCCTCAAGGGAGCCCTTTTCACAAAATTCAGATTCAATAATATCCCTCAGCTTCGATTCCTTTTCGAGCGCGAATATCACGGGAGCCGTTAGATTCCCTTTCGCCAGGTCACTGGCAGCTGGCTTGCCCAGCTGCTCGGCCGATTGGGTGAAATCGAGAATGTCGTCCACGACTTGGAACGACAGGCCTAGGTTCTTTCCGTACTGGTACATCTGTTCGCTGATGTCACTGTGGACCCCGCTGAATATGGATGCGCCCTTTGTGCTGGCGGCGATTAAGGAGGCTGTTTTGTAGTAGCTCTTGATTAAGTACTCGTCGAGGTGTACGTCGCAGTCGAACAAGCTCGATGCTTGCTTTATTTCGCCACTTGCGAAATCTTTGATGACCTGTCAAAACGACGTAATTTCATAAAAAAAAAATAATAATAAAATTACAAAAAAACAATCACGAGTGAAGTTTAACGGTACCTGACTGATGAGTTTAATAACTTCGAGATTTTCGAGATTCGCTAGGTACCAAGATGATTGGGCGAACATAAAATCGCCAGCTAGGACAGCCACTCTTGTCCCGTATAATTGATGGACAGTTTCCTTTCCTAAAAAAAAAAATTAGTATCGAAAAAATAACCGAAAATTTTCAAGAATTGCAGAAAAAATCACCAAAAAAACACGAGCACGGAGAAATTTAATTTTAAAAAATGGCTAACCTCTACGCATGTCACTTTCATCCAATACATCGTCGTGTATCAAACTTGCGGTGTGGATCATCTCGATTATCTCGGCCAACCTTCTATGCTCGATTGTGAGTTCCCTAAACCAAAAAACAGTCGATAAATATAAATATTTTATATTTTAGTATCTAATAAATATTTTTTGATGCTCACTTCAAACCAGCAATCTCTGCAGTGGCTCTTGAAACGAGAAAAACCAAAGCCGGTCTCATTCTTTTCCCACCGGCTCCAAAGATTTGCTCGGCAGCAGACATCAAAACCGGGTTTTCCGAACCAACAATCTGACAATCATTTTTGTCAACAAAAAATAAATAAATAAAGCCCGTCTAAACCCACCACATTACTCGTGTACACTTCATTAAATATATCAATTCACCGTTATTAGGCTAGTTGAAAAGTTCTTGAAAATAAAACGAGAGATGTAATAACTTATGAATAGCAATAATTTTGTTTCATCGATTTCACTTAAACATTTAAATGTTCCTCGATTTTAAGAGAATGCATAGATCAAGAAACTAACCGATTGTAGATTTTTGTTGAGGGTTAATAGGTCGTCTGCAACCACTTCAAACATATCCGACAGAGACGAAGGGCCTTTCTTCTCTTGTTTAGAATCGAGCACCGTTGGAGGACCAGCTGTCACTCCTATAATATCAAGAAACTATCACAAACGCTAAGGCCTCGTTTGGTAACCAAAAAACGGGACTTGATAGACAATATAATCAAGATGCATCAACTATTTGAATTTAGGTTCGAAAACCAAAACCCGTGATGTTTAACGGGTCCAGAATTTAATCAAACATGTGAATGACAATACGTGGATCGTATAATCATAAAGCACAAATAATATCTCGGACAATGTAATCACAATCAATTTTATCAATCCCGTCAATAATACCAGACGATGCCTAAATATTGAATCTTGAAAACGTAAACTAGTACTTAGCAACCATTGAGAAAAGTAACTCAACCCCCTATTATTACACAATCCTACGAAGAATGGAGCAATACAAGGATTATATAATCATGAATCACGAGCATAGGATAAAATTTCATATTACATATCACGGATAATGTAATCAAACCCAAATCAATCAGTTTCATCAATCCCATCGATATTTCGAAACGACGACAAAAAAATTCAATCTTGCCAACACGAACTAGTGACTTCATTTTCAAACAGAAGAACTGAATTAAGTTATATCAGATTATAACACACACACACACACACACACACACACGAGTTAACATTGAGAAAAGTAACTTAACCCCTATTATTACACAATCCTATGAAGAATACTGCTCAATACAAGGATTGTATAATCAAGAATCACGGACAATGTAATCAAATCCAATTCAATCAATCAATTTCATCAATCCAATCGATATTTCCCAAACGACGACTAAAAAAATCCAATCTTGCCAACACGAACTAGTGACTCTAATTTGCAAACACAAGAACTGAATCAAGTTATTATATCAAACACTACATCATTAAAAAAAATTAAAAAAAACAGTTACCATTGAGAAAAGTTTCCGGAGTCTTGGTCGAAAACACGCGGCACCGGCCGACTTCGCGCTTCTTACACGACAGTTTCCGAGGCCTGCAGACATTTCTAAGCATCCCTTCTGCACAATTTCTGACAGGGAATCGATTGGGAGATGCATTAGAAGAGCACCCACATCCCACAAAATCCAATCTTATTCTTCCAAACTCAAGATTATGGCATGTAACCGACATCATATCCAAATTAATAATCCCAAAAAAAAAAAGAATTCAAAAATCAAGAACCCTCTTCTAGAAATCAAGAACCCACTTCAGAAAATCAAGAACCCGCCTCAGAAATCAAGAAACCGAGTCAGTTTCTCATTCCAAAGAAAAATAAAAATTGAGTCTTTTTACACAGTGAGTTTAGTGAGTTGAGAATGAAGAAGAACTCGGTTCTTGTTCTTCTTCTTGGCAGAGGAGAGCTGTGGAAATTTAATTGTTATGTTTGTAAACAAGTAGAAGTATTTTGAGTGGAGCAAAAAATAGATATGAATTTGTTGAATTTATTTATTTATTTTTCCCCTTTTTATTTTTATTTTATTTTATTTTTTCTTTCCTTTTCGTAAGCACAGAAAGAAAGAAAGGGCTGTGGTTTTTTTTCCCCCAAATTTTGAAAAAAAATTGAGAAGCTATGGACAGGACAACGGATCTTATCTAACAAAAATTATTTTATACAACAATATATAATTGTGTGTGTGTGTGTGTTAGTGTGTTAGTGTGTGAGTGAGAATGTGGGGTGGCTGACTGACTGGCTGGTAATAAGATGATTGGTGTGTTTTTCTTACAACCAAGAAAACTAATGTATGTACCACAAAAAAATTTATATTTTGCAACGTGTCTGATTTCTATTGATCCCTTTTTGTAGTCATGAGACAGGCTTATTAAAAGTGAAATGCCAACTGTTTTTATCTTGTTTGTGAAAAACCATCCATAGGTCAATTTTAAGAGAGGTAGGGGTGAGAGAGAATAAATCGAAAACCCGAGATTGATCAAACTCGGTTTGCTAGGTTTGCTGTCGTAAGCTCAACGTCAGTTTAGATCTTCTCCAAAATCACAATCGGCCTTCCTTCATGCAACATCGGGAGGGATATCCCGTCGTAGAAGCTCCGACGCTCAAGTCAGACATAAGAATAAAATGTTTGAGCGACTCGATTTTTATAATTGATGATACTTGGTGGGCAATGAACAAGAAAATTTGTCATAACTCCTCCTTTTGGGCATGTATATGGGCCGCATCTCGAAAATGGAAAACCCAATCGACAACCCAATAAAGGATTAGAAAGTCTATGAGGACAATTTGGTCCATATCAGAAATGTTGCAAACCGGCCCAAGATATGGTTTTTCCCTTTTCTTGGGAACCGGTCTATTTTATTTATGTACGGTTATTTGGACTTACGAGATCCTACATCTGGTGAAGTACATCATGTGGTTTTAAACCGTAAATCTACATAAATAATTAAGCACGCATGCACATGTATGCCCGTATTATTATATGCAGATTAATGGTGTAAAACAATATGGTGTATTTTATCATGTGTAGGTTCTACAAAACTGTTCTTTGAGCATGAAACAGAACTAATGAACCGAACGAAACCGAATAGGCATATGTTTACAAAAAAAAATTCTCATTTTTCATTTTATTTCTTTCTTGTTTACGGGTGTTTTTTTAAACTGTAATTCTCTAAAATCAAAACTAGAAATTTCAAAAGAAATGATTCTAGTGCACTACAATAGGTACTTTATTTGTTTAGTCCACCCAATTTATCTCATTTAGTCCATCTTCTAGATTATGTAGAATATTCTAAAGTTTGTATCAGTTTTACCCCATTCAAACTCCACATTTTGAAACAATATGATCATGAAATGTGTCTCTTGGCTTGTAAATATTAGATTGTGATGCATCAGAAACTGTATTTTTGCACGAAACGAGTACAAAAAAGAGAACATTACAGAGAATGTAAAAGATTATGTTGCATTTAACACCATAAAGGTGAACGTGTAAGAAAATTTATATTTGATAGATAGTTGTAATTACCCAAACAAAATGTATTTTTTCGTAATTTAACATTACCTTAGGGGTGACAGTAATTTTCCTTATGAGCGGAGGGTTTTATTTTAGTAAATTTATTATCCATGGTGTGCAAGTACTACAACCAATATATATATATATATATATATATATATATATATATATATATATATATATATATATATATATATATATATATATATATATATATATATATATTTGAAGGAACCAAATTCTTAATTATGTATGTATAAAATACAAATTCATTATTATATAAGAAATCAATTTAACAACAAAAAAAAAAAAAGCAGTATATTAAATTGTATTTTTACTTTTTTTAATTAAGTCATCTTAATAATAAATAAAAACCTCAATAAACTGCACTGCCTCTTGTTATCATTCAACAGATATCTATTTCAATGAAGACACACATTCCAATCAATAAACCATTAATATTAAATCTCAGCAGAGATATTATATATATATATATATATATGTATTATCAAAAGCTCATAGCTTATAAGCCCACCATACATTATGCATAGATGCAACCACCATAGCCTGCAAAAAAAAAAAAAAAAAAAAAAGTTGGAAAAAAAAAGTAATTTCTAATTAGGTAAATAAAATTCAAATTCTTGATAATATGAAAATTAATAAATATGAAATAAATAAATAATTACTTGGATCAGTGAAGACAATAAGACCAGAGTTGCCAAAACTGCAATCCCATGTGTTTCTTCCCTTAGCCTGATAGTACAAATTCATGGCTATGGAAGCATGGTTCATTAGATTATCGGGTATAAAGCACGCGCCGCCGTTCTGAATTATCGCGCAATCCACGTTCGAACAAGCGTACGCGATATTCTGCTGTAGAACCACCTCGTCCGACGAAGGCTTCACCACACACCACGTTTTCTATTCGCACGTGCACAAACATATATACACCGTCGTATAATTATTAATCTCACAAAATTAAAAAAATTATAAAAAAAAAAAAAAAAAAAAAATCTTATAACCGATTTAGGATATTTGGGACGGTGTCCGAAAGCGATCGATACCTGCGCATTAGCCGATCCGATGTTCCTAGCTGAAGAATTGAAAAAAAATAAACATGTAAATTGATTTAGTAGCTGAAATTAGGGGTTTCAAGAACATTATATATATTCAAGATTATATACTTATAATTAATACATTAGTATAAATGTATTTTTTATATATATGTGTACCTGAAATGAAGGAAATTAGGAGTAGCAGAAGGTGTATAACTTTAACCATAGCTTATAGATGTTTGTAAGAAAAAAACTTTGTTTTTTAATTTTTGACTGAGTGATGATGGATATAAATTAAGCAAGAAGATGAGTAACAGATATTTGACTGATAGATAGATAGATACAAATTAAAAGCTAGGGCTAAGTGGTCCAATTAATTATGTAATTATTAATGATGTGGTTTTTACCCCTTAATTAAGCCAATAATTGGAATTATTTTTGGCAAAAAGTATGGATAAGAAAAGAGGAGGCAATGGCAATTAGCCATTAGGTGGTTGGGATAAGACCCGTTCGTGAGAATTCGAGCGCCTTAGGCGAGATTTAAAGAACAACACGAAATGGGTCCACAATTCATCTTCTACAATAAAATTTATTTTTTTAATAAATGAACTATAATAATTATCTTTATATATAAAAGTAAGAAACGCTGATAGTCTAAGATACTCTAACGACATATTTATAAATAAAAAAGATATTCATTATTGTTGTATTATTATTTTTTCATCTCCTATTTTCCAACTTTTTTTTCTCCAATGACTTTCATAACAAATCATTATTTCTAACGAATAACAAAAAATGGAAAAATGTATCAATGTTCATAGAAGTCGGGTGATTTGATTAATTTATATTTTTTTTATTTAGTATATGCTTTTTATTATAATTTGTGTGATTATAATTTCATAACTAATTATTTTAATATTGTCTTTTTTAATGCAATGGTACATTATGGCCCGTGCATTGCACGGGAGGAATTGCTAGTTTTTTTTTTTTAAAGCATACAAGAATATTTATCATTGGACTACAACACATTATTGCAAATTAGCTAACAAAAAGCATATATATTACGAAACTACAATGTATAATGATTATAAAACTTATATAAATAATGTTAAATAAATTATTAATTCTCATATAATTATTATATATTAAAAATTTCCACCATTAACAAATCTATATATAATAAATTTTAAAAATATAAAAAATTGTAGATCAACTTGTGTAATTTGAAAAATAAATTTCGAAAGAATATGTGGTTTTAATCGTAAATCGTAAGATTTTAATCAATTAAGCTCAAGTGATTTCAATTTGCAAACAATATTCAAAGATTTGAATCGATTAACCTGGAGGCATTTCAATTCATAAACAATATTCAACGATTTGAATCGATTAGACTGGAGGCATTTCAATTCGTAAACAATATTCAACGATTTGAATCGGTACGGTTAAGCTCAACAATTTACATGAGCGTATTAATAGAATTAACCATGTATAGTTAAAGTTTAGTATATATTTTTTTTTATTTAATTTAATCATAAAAAATAATAAAAGTTAATTCATAAAAATCGTAAGAATCAAATCGTAAATCATAAAATTTAATCGATTCAAATATTACGGTTAGATTCAATCTCACGATTTACGATTTGATTGTTTCAAAAATTTTCGATTTTTTTTGTTTGTTAAATTTGAATTAAAAGGATATTTATCTCGAAATAATTCCAATTGGCCGACACTATCACACTCAGAAAGAAAAAAAAAATGGCTTCAACACTATCAACATCCACACTTGTTCTTCTTCTTCTTCCCCATTCTAACGTAAACACCATAACCAGAATCTGCTTTCTCTCTCCAAAAAATTGCAGCAAACAATCTCTCTCCTCGCACGTGCCCACATCATTCAACGGGAATGCCGAACGACGTCGTTTCAGCCACCTCTCACCAAAAGCTGCTTCATCTTCTTCTCCAGGTAAAAACAAATTAAAAAAAAAAAAAAATCAAAAATTCACTCCACACTTGTTTAATTACTGTCTGGCTATGGAATTTTTTCTTCTCCAATCGAGACTGTTAAATTGTTTTCACCTATAGTTAGTAAAGGAATGTGTGTTTGTTGTTGTTACTTAGGGTTCATAAATTTTGCCCTCTTTTTTGATTTGATCGACGAAAAATCGAAAATTAATTTTCCCCTGTTGGATTCTTCAAAATTATGCAGTGGTTGAGAAATTAAATAAATAAATAAAGGGTAAATTACAACCACCCCTAAGGTAATGTCAAATTACTAGAAAAATCTTTATGTGTTTGGATAATCAAATTACTCAAAAAAAAAAACTTCATGTTTGGATAATTACAACCACCCCTCAACTATGAATCTTCTTACATGCCGATCCTTGCAATGTTAAATTTTGTGGAATCTTCTAGATTATGCGGAATATTCTCCAGTTTGTACTCGTTTTATCCCATTCAGCTCCACATTTAGAAATAAGATGATCATAAGATGTGTATATTGGCTTGTAAATATCAGATTGTGGAGCATCTGAATCTGTTTTTTTTTTTTTTTTGCACAAAACAAGTACAAACTAGAAAACATTTCACTCAATCGAGAAGATTATGGTGAATTTGACACCATAAGGGTGGACGTGTAAGAAAATTCATAGTTGAGGGGTGGTTGTAATTACCCAAACATGAGGGTTTTTTTGTAATTTGACCTTAACCTTATGGGGGTGGCCGTAATTTACCCTAAAAATAAATTATACTTCAATATATATATTTGCAACTACTAATTA